CACAATTTCATACTAAATTTAAAAACTATAATTAGTGTTTATTCATATATTATATTTTAAAATCAAAGAACTACTAATCAGGATATAATTAAAGAAATAAGAGTTCATGTTGCTTTTAAAATATTTCACCAATTTCTCTAAAGGAAACACTATCTACAGATTTGCATCGAAGCGTTTCTTATGATAGTGATTTTAATCACTGTCATATACATTAAACTTAACCCGACAATGTTATGTCACCACTGTGCCACGACCCCACTGTGCTGAGATTTTTTAATTATCTTATAATGATATCGACAACATGAATTATATATAAATGCCTCGTCCACACTGTGCCTCGACCCCACTGTGCTACTTTTTTTCATTTTACGGTTACTTTTTATCATGTTATACTTACATTAGACACAATGTTATAAATGCATATGTGTGTATGTGTAAGTTTATTTATTTATAGTATCATTAAAGTGTAGTGTATAGTAAGATACAACCGATAGAGTAGGTAATTGATTTGACGCTATTATGTTTAAACCCAACTAAACGCTAAATTGTACATTCTCAAACAACAATTATATTATGTCTATTGTCACTGGAATTTCTGCTAATAATAAAGATAATTGTCATAAAACGGCCTTTAGTCAGGTGCTGGAGCTGGTAAAAATTGTGGCTGCCGAAAAACAGGACTTAAATGTTCTATTATATGTGAACATTGCAAAGGTCAATGGCGTACAAATTCAATAAAAATAAAGATTGAAGATTAAGAAAATTGTATTTTTGTTGAAGATATATTCTATCAAAATTTAGAATGGGAAAATGAATAAAAAAATAGAAAAAATTTAGTTTGAAACATTTGTCAAATAACTTTATAGTGGAGAAATCCTCCATCGATTACATAATTTGCACTAGTAATGCATATAACTTGTTTTTAGGATACAAATAAGGAAATAGGAGATCATGTAGCTTTTGTAATAATCCATTAAAATTTTAAAATTAAACACTATCTACAGATTTGCATTAAGGCGTTGTTTTTTGATTATGATTTTAATCACTGTCGCATATTATCTATACTGCACCCAACTATACACACTGTGCCGGGACACTGCTAGGTTTTTTTTTAAATAGCGATTAGTTGAAATAGTAGCAATGGGTTTACTTTAATTATTTCATTATTAATTTTAACAATAGAAGTTATTGAAGACTTATTTAAATAACTTTATTTGACCTTTTAATATTTATATCATGAAAGTTATTATCCACCATTGAGTTTACTAGAACTTTAGAATTTTAGACACTTTATGACAATTAATTTTATCATGACCAGAAATTCTGGCTGGTTTGACAAAAGAGAACATGAGGTAGGTGAAATGAGATCAGTGACAATTGGCGAGAGTGTGAATGGGGAGATAGAAAGTTTTATGTATTTAGGATCAGTAGTGCAAAAGGGCGATGGTATTGACGATAATGTAAGACACAGGATTAAGTGCGGGTAGTTGAAGTGGAGAGAAGCGTCTGGTGTCTTATGTGATAAAAGAATTCCAATGAGGCTAAAAGGTAAATTCTACAAAATTGTGGTGAGACCAGCTATGATGTATGGTTTAGAGTGTTGGGCGGCTGATAAGAAAGTAGAGCAGAGAATGAGTGTAGCAGAGATGAGATTGCTTAGTTGAATGAGTGGAGTGACTAGAGAAGATAGGATAAAGAACGAGCATATAAGAGGAAGTATAGGTGTAGCGTGAATCGTGAATAAGATAAGAGAAAATAGACTTGCATGATTTAGTCATGTTATGAGGAGAGAAGAATCGGAAGCTTTAAGAACAGTTATAGAAATGAATGTTGAGGAAAGAAGAGGTAGAGGAAAACCAAAAAAGAGATTGAGGGATGTTATTGAATGCGATATGAGGGCAGCTGATGTGAGCATAGAAGATGAGGGAGATCGTGTCAAGTGGTAGTTTAGGATATGGGTGGCCGACCCCAAGTATTTGGAATTAAGGCAAAGAAAAAGATAAAGATTACCAGAAATTCCAGTGGCAATTGGTATAATATGATTGTTGTTGGAAATGTACAATTTAGCGTTTAGTTGGCTTTAGACAATATAGCGTCAAATCAATTACCTACTCTATCGGTTGTATCTTAATATACACTACACTTTAATGATACAATAAATAAATAAACTCACACATACACACATATGCATTTATAACATTGTGTCTAATGTAAGTATAACATGATAAAAAGTAACCGTAAAATGAAAAAAATTGGAAAATAAATTTAAGTACTCATTTTAAAAGTAATGTAACTCGAAAAATATTTTTAAATGAAAAAATATAAGATACATTTTTTGTTTAAAATTGTCTTTTAAACAACAGACACAAAAAAAAAAATAAAAAAAAAACACATCATAGTAAAATTAATACCTTCTCAGCTTCGCATCGAAGCTAAAAAAATGGAAAATAAATTTAAGTACTCATATTAAATGTAATGTAACTCGAAAAATATTTTTAAATGAAAAAATATAAGATACATTTTTTGTTTAAAATTATCTTTTAAACAACTTTTGTAGGAAACTTTTTTTTGTAAATTAAATATTTGTTGAGAAAATTAAAAAAGCTCATATTTTGAACTTTTGCGAGGCTGTAAAAAAAAAGCTCAATTACAATCTTGAGGACTTTTAGTATGTCATTATACATATTTTAATTCAACTTTATAAAAAAAAAAAATTTGGTTGGTAATTTTTTCCGTCATTTTTCCTTCGTTGACTGGCCTGTATATTATTATATTGAAAATATATTTATGACAATTCCAATTTGGCCAACTTTTTTTACATGTGTATGAATATGTTAACTGATATAATAAAGTGTATAAACTTTTAATTTACTTAAAATAATTTTTTTTAATTAAAATAGATAAATAAAAATGAATTATGTTAGTGATATTTATATATACCTACCTATTTAACCCATAGATTGTCATCAGTTATTCAGTATACATTAAAAATAAAAAAAAAAATGAATTATGTTAGTGATATTTAAATATACTGACATATTTAACCCATAGATTGTCATCAGTTATTTAGTATACATTACTATAGAAAACACAAGTAAAAATGGAGGTGAGTAATACATTTTATTGAAGATAATTGATAAAATATAAAACGTTATTTTATTTTATTTTAGAACTGGCAATTAATATATTTTTTTTTGATAATTTCCTGTTTGACATTTAACGAAGGTAATTTTGATTTTAAATTATTAATGCGTAATATGTTTATTAAATACATTTTAGCTTCGATGCGAAGCGGAGAAGGTATTAATTTTACTATGATGTGTTT